ACAAGCCACAGCTTTGCTTGCCCTCTGGTTTACGCTTTATTGAAACACGGTTGGGCTACCCGATTACATGACAGCTTAAGCAGCTCAAGTCGCTATCAACAAGTCTTGAACATCTCAAAGAACAAGACAAGTGGGAAGGATACTGCTGGATACGCAAATAAATACGTTGTCAATTGCAGAGGATGAGAGCGAAGATGAACAAGAAAGATGTGAGAAGTTTTGTTCCTTGGATGCAGCTGGTACAGAAAGATTCGGACAATCAGAGAATGCGGAGCAAGCACAGACAGACAAGCTTGTTCTACAGCACTTCATAGAAACAGATGAAAAACGCAAAAATGGGTACTTTGTCCGACTACCTTGAAAGGAACACGTTACAGACTTGCGGACAACAAAGCTAAAGCTCAGCGAAGGCTTGTTGGTCTTTGGAACTCTCTTCGTAAAAATCCAGATACGCTACAGAAATACGATGAAGTGTTTCAAGACCAGTACCGCAACATTCTTGAATACGTCCCCGAAGAGGAATCAGACTACAAAAACTTACATGATTCACCCGATCAAACTGTTATCACTCCACACAAGACGACGACGAAGCTAAGTGTGGTCTGTGACGCTTCTGCCCACTACAAAAACCGTCCTTCACTCAATGACTCCTTACAAAGGGGTCCAGTCATTTCACCTCAGTTTTTCGAAGTGTCGTTACGAGAGAAACACAAGCTTCAAGTTAGACATAACAAGTCCATTTCGCACCCGCAGAAGCACGACTGCGTCCTTATCACAGACCCCGTACAACCACGACATTCCTCGAAGATGGGGCGCATTACGGAGCTTTTGAAGAGCAAAGACGGACAAGAAAGGAAAGCAGTCGTGATCTTACAATCTGAAAAACAAACTCGCCGACCAGTGAATCTTCCGGTACCATTGAAGCTAGAAGATGGAATAAAGGCCGAAACAACAAGATGGCCAAGCCTCCCCAGGAAACCCCAAACGGTACCAAATGAGACCGCGAAAATTGATAGACTACGATGAAAGAAACAAGGATGAAGATCAAAAGAAGCTACTGGGAGGAAAAACCAAGATGGCGGGAGTGTCGCCAATGGCGACTAGGATATTGTAGATGTCTGTAAATAATGTATATATTGTTCATCGTTTACTATTCGGTTTATCTTATAAATGTGTGTTCAGAAGAGTACCACACGAGTCAGCCGGACTAGTTATCTCAACCTCACTTCATCACCTTGTCACTTATCATTTATCCTCGGTTATCAAAGACTTGCAATGTACACATCAACAAGTCTGAAGAGCATAAATACTGAGGGATGAGTAAAGTCAAGTACTCTTCCACAAGTGTCTTCACAAGTCGGAGGTTCACAAGTATCGAAGCAGTCTTGAACATTGACAAGTCTGGAGGAAACTTCACTCGCTCTCTGTCAAATCAAGTACTGTATTCCGCTCCATAATAA